AAGGCTGAGAAATAGTACTTTTTCAAAACACCATGATAGGATGCCTAAACCTAGTAAGTCAGTCCATAAATGTACTTTTTATCCACTCCCCAACAAATGTCACAATTAATAACGTCATAGTTTTCTTAAACCACAGCATTCATCTTTAATTAAAAGCTTAAATTTTTTAATGACTGTTTAAGTATAAGTACCGAGAGAGATCTTCAAAATGCAACTAAAGAAGTATTAAAGATGTGGTTTGCGACGTTTTGAAATAGCACTTAAATGGGTTTAGATCAACCAACCTTGATTCCATTGAGGAGGCTAGTACCTTAGATAATAATTTGAATTAGATAATGATTTGAAATCAAAACCTGCAGTGACAGTCATTTTTACCCTAACTATAAGCCAAAATATGATCCTTCCCGCTAACCATTGTTTACTTCCTGGTCACAAGATTTGATAGGTTATTTCTAAAAGACGGAATATCTTGTGAGTTTCTTTTTCTCTCTTGTGCTTTCCTGCATATGGTAAAAAGTAAAAAGACAAAGAAGATTGCTACTAAACAAGAAAATGACTGTAGTGCAAAACAAGTGTGTATGTGAGACAGTAAGGTATGCTGCGTTCTCCAGAAATGCAGAATGAAGCTGCCACTGTAGTAGTTAATGAAAGAAAAGCACACAATTTACTTAAACCTTAGGGTGTATTGCACTCGAGCAGAGCACTTTCGGGTCGTGAACAAGGCCCTTTTATTTTCAATCGTTATTTTAAACTTCGCTATACGCTGCTGAGATACAGAACGATTAGGTTATATCATCCACAAATAAGCGCAAACGGGGTTCAAATAATGAGCTATCCAACCTAAAATGCTCTTCAAAAAATAAACTAAGCTATTTATTCTAATGAGGGAGTGGTTAGAGATTAAAAAGAAGGACTTCTACAGATGTAAACGTTAAAAGTAACTTTGAAGTGAACCGTCTGCTGGGAGGTAAACAGCTCAGATGCCTTCTGCTCGGCGCGGGGCAAAACATCACTACCAGCGCTCCTGGTGAGAGAACAGGGAAGCAGACTGAACCTTCAGACCTCGACATACGTACTAGGGTGTTTTTGTAGTTTGAATACATTTTAAACCGAAACATTACTGGCAAAATGAGAGTTCTCGTCTAGACATTCGAACCTTAGACTGTACATTGGACAACTCTGTACTGCAACCAGAACTCCCACTTCATAACGCCGTTCTGCGTTTCGGCACCGTGCATTCGGGCCAGCTCGCTAGTACCCTCTCCTCTACTAGTGCTCGTTTGCCGCCAGAGCTCCGGCGCTTCGCCCGGCGTTGTGGTCGTCGTCGTTGTTCAGTTGAGAGTGAGCGAGAAGGACGCGTGCGTCCCCCTGGAGATGCTGATTTTACCCGCCGAGTACCCCATCATCCTCCTGATATTGAGCCCCCGTTACAAAATAATTGTTGTCAAACATCAATTTCGTTGTGTCTTTGTTTTTCGTTGAATTTCCATGACTTTTTCATTTCC